GATTGCGGGGAGGCTCGCCCTGTTTGCCCTTGCCTGGTCCCACGATTCGCGGGCGTTTCAGGTTGTTTCTTCCAGCCTCGGGTGGCGTTGGGTGGCTGCTCCACCTTTGGGGGGTTTGGAGCTGGCAGGGCAGGCCTCTTTTCCTGCACTCTGTCAAGTCATCCTGGCGTGGGTACACTTGGCCATGGTTGAAATGATGACGTCCCTTAGATGGGTTTCCCGCCTGTTTCCAGTCAGAGACATCAGAGACATTACGATATCAGATACCACATACTCAGATCACAAACTCATTGAAGTGCAAACGACCATCAATACTCAGAATAGACCTAAAACGTTGATAAAGCGAGAGGGGCTATTCAGTAAATTCAATTTTAATAATAAAAGGATAGACTGGAAGATAATAAACAGGGAACTTACAAACATTCCATGGGGAACTGTTCTAAATAATACAAGTCCTACAGAAGGAATAGAAAAACTTACTTCAGAAGCGTATCAAGTCTGTCTGAAACATGTTCCTTTGAGGAAAGCCAGAAAGAGATCTAACGTAGAAAGAGAACGCAGACGACACTATAAACGCAGGAAAAAAATAACGGAACTGCTTATGCAGACACGAATTTCCCGTCAAAGAAGGAATAATTTAAATAGGGAGATTGAAGAAATTGAGCGGAAATTGAAACACTCATATGAAACTGAAGAAAGGCAGTTAGAACAGAAAGCAATTCAGGAAATAAAGAAAAATCCAAAATATTTTTTCTCATATGCGAAATCAAAAGCAAAAACCACTGCCAGTATTGGACCTATTCGTACAAGTGAAGGTTCATACACGGAGGATGACAAAGAAATTAGTGAAATCCTAAAAAAGCAGTATGAGGACATGTTTAGCACTCCAATAAACAACATGAAGGTGGAAGATCCAGACAATTTCTTTATGCGGGATATTCAAACCCCGGTAAATATAACTGATATAAACACGAGCGCACTAAATTTTGAAAAAGAAATTGAAAACATGCCCATGCACTCGGCCCCAGGTCCAGACTCATGGAATTCAATATTTATAAAGAAATGCAAAGTGCCGGTAGCACAGGCACTCAGTATAGTGTGGAGGAAGAGCTTGGACACGGGGGAGATACCAGATGCACTTAAAGTAGCAGACATAGCCCCTCTACACAAGGGAGGGAGCAAAGCATTGGCAAAAAATTATAGACCAGTTGCACTAACATCGCACATCATAAAAGTATTTGAGAGAGTGATTAGGAGTCAGGTCACCAATTTCATGGAGACCAATGACCTTCATAACCCAGGCCAACATGGATTTTGAGCGGGAAGATCGTGCCTCTCACAGCTACTTGAGCACTACGACAAAGTCACTGAGGCATTAGAAGAGAAACAGAATGCTGATGTGATATACACGGACTTCGCAAAGGCCTTCGATAAATGTGACCATGGCGTGATAGCACACAAAATGAAGTCAATGGGAATAACCGGTAAAGTAGGACGCTGGATACTCAGTTTTCTGTCAAACAGGACTCAGCGAGTAACTGTCAACCATATAAAATCTAGTCCAAGTGCAGTGAAAAGCTCTGTACCTCAGGGTACAGTCCTTGCACCACTGCTTTTCCTTATTCTCATATCAGATATAGACAAAAATACAAGTCACAGCTTCGTATCATCCTTTGCAGATGACACAAAAATCAGTATGAAAATTACCTCGGCTGAGGACATTGAAAAACTTCAAGCTGATATTAATAAAGTTTTCGACTGGGCATCAGAAAATAACATGATGTTTAACAGTGATAAATTCCAGGTACTCAGGTACGGTAAAAATGAGGACCTTAAACATAATACAGAGTACAAAACACAATCAAATGTACCCATAGTAGGAAAACAGCATGTAAAGGATTTGGGAATAATAATGTCTGACGACCTAACGTTTAAGGAGCATAACCAAGCAAATATTGCGACAGCCAGAAAAATGATAGGATGGATTACGAGAACTTTCAAATCCAGGGATCCCATCACAATGGTTGTACTCTTCAAGGCACTTGTGTTGTCCCGTCTTGAGTACTGCTCAGTACTCACTTCCCCCTTCAAAGCAGGAGAGATTGCTGAAATAGAGGGAATACAGAGAACATATACGGCACGCATAGACGCAATAAAGCACCTAAATTATTGGGATCGTCTCAAAGCCCTCCAAATGTACTCACTAGAAAGAAGACGAGAGAGATATCAAATAATATACACCTGGAAGATACTGGAGGGCCAAGTACCAAATCTACACAGTAAAATAACAACGTACTGGAGTGAACGACATGGAAGAAAATGTAGAATAGAACCAATGAAGAGCAGAGGTGCCATAGGCACAATCAGAGAACACTGTATAAACATCAGAGGTCCGCGGTTGTTCAACGTCCTCCCAGCAAGCATAAGAAATATTGCCGGAACAACCGTGGACATTTTCAAGAGGAAACTAGATTTATTCCTCCAAGGAGTGCCGGACCAACCGGGCTGTGGTGGGTATGTGGGCCTGCGGGCCGCTCCAAGCAACAGCCTGGTGGACCAAACTCTCACAAGTCGAGCCTGGCCTCGGGCCGGGCTTGGGGAGTAGACGAACTCCCAGAACCCCATCAACCAGGTATCAACCAGGTATCAACCAGTAGCGCAACGGAACTGTGCGGATCTGAGGTTCATTCTGGTCTTGTCCTGTCTGAACCCCTGGATTTTTTGCCCCACCTTTCGGACGGCCACTCTGTCCCAGGTCCGGCTCCTTTTGGAGCCAGATGCTTGGATGGTGTCTCTAGACATCCAGGACGTGTATTGGCGCCTCATGATTTATCCGGGGTTCAGGGACTGGCTTGGTTTTGTCGTTACACGGCACGCTTACCACGTTCGTTGCCTTCCATTCGGATTGAATCTGGCTCCTCACGTTTTCACACACCTTACCCGGGTCATGGTGGCCCATTTGCGTCTGCTAGGGGCTCGGGGTTCTGGCCTGCCTCAACAACTGGCTGGTTTGGGCTTCCAGCCGGTCCGCGTGTCTGCTCGCCAAGGATTTGGTTCTTTCCCAGCTTGCCGGGTTCGGGTTCTAGGTGAACTGGAGGAAGTCCCATTTGGTTCTCCCTCTGGTTCAGACTTGGCTGGGTCTTGTGTGGGACTCTCGGACCACTTCCTTGTCTTTTTCTCTAGCGGCATAGTGGCAGCTTCAGTCCTGCATTTGGGTGTTTTTTGGAGGGCACCTGGGTCACTCGTCGGTAGTTAGAGCAGCTGTGCATGAGTATCAACTTCGTCTTCCTGGTCTATCCGTCAGATCGGATCTGGCTTCAGTGGCTGTTCTGGTTACTTCTGGGACGTCTCTTCCGCCGCTCTCACGATCGCTGGGGACCTTGCTTCAGCTGTTGCGTTCATTGTCTGAACTGTGGGGGTTCAATGCAGTCCTTGGCTCTTTAGGGCTGGTTACTTTGGGTGACTCATATGCTGGATTCTCAGGGTTTGGTTCTCTGGGCGGTTCATATCCAGGGAGTGTCCAATGGCCTGTCCCGGCTCATTCCCCTGTCCACGGAATGGACGGTCAACGCCGACTCCTTCAGTTGGCTTTGTCGGACATATGGGCACCCAGCGGTGGACCTCTTCGTGTCAGTGTCATTGAGGCATTTCCTGGTATATGTGGCGCCCTTCTCCGACTGCAAGGCCTTCGTGGGTCAACGCCTTTTGGCAGGATTGGTCACGGTGGAGTTACCTGTACCCCTTTGACCCGGTTCAGCTGTTGCTTCGGGTTCTGGCTCGGTTGGAGACTTTCCAGGTGAGAGTAGTCCTGTTGGCCCCTTGGTGGCTGGCCCAGCCTTGGTTTCAGGGGCTGCTTGCTTGATGTCCGTACCAGGGATCTTTCTTCGGCTCTGCCTCTTTCAGCAGATTGGTCTGGTCCGGTATGTGGCTGGTTCGATCTTCTTGTCTGATCTTTGTGTCTGGTCTCTCTGACATGGGTTCATCACCACGTGTATGGTGATCAGGTGGCTTCATTGATGGTGTCCCACCTGCATGTTTTGTTTCAGTGGCAGTATGAAGTTTCCTGGCGGTCCTTTCATTACTTATTGTCCCTTCGTGTGTTGTTCTCAGTTTCTAATCGTTTTTTTTCTTTTCTCTCTCGGCTGTTTCAGAACCATCATCATGTGCCAAATACTGTCGCCTCGTATCGTACGGTGCTGGCAGAGCCGCTTCACCTTGGGTTTGGGGCAGATGTTACTTCTTCTCTGTTCCACAAGCTTTCTCGTGCGTTGTTTCACCTCCGGCCTGCTCATGCGCCGTCTGAGCTATCCTGATTCTTGGATCGGGTGATCTCTTTCTCTCTTCCCGTTGGTTTGTGGTGACCCCTTCGGTTCAGGATGCGTTTAATGTATTGAAACGGCATTTTCTGTGTAGAGTCCCAGAGGGCTCCCTGGCATCCTCCCCCCCCCCACCCTCCCTCCTGTCGGCAGTTTTGTTTCCATTTGTCAGTCTCCGAGCTAGTGGTCTGTTGGTCAGCTCGGTGGGGGTCAGCGCAAACGAACCGTGCACGGTGTGATGACATGTTGCTTGTTATCTTGTTTTCCTTCGGGGTGAGTTCCTAGCCTCTGTTTGGTCTCAGGTTGCAATTTTTCTACCAGGAGAGGTCTGTTTTGGGGTGCCTACCTTTCTGGGTGTCCAACCCCGGGGTGCCTACCTTTCTGGGTGTCCAACCCCGGGGTGCCTACGCCTACCTTTCTGGGTGTCCAACCCCGGTCGATGGCAGACATGAATATACTCTCATACAAGGGAGTTTCATAGGCCATTGCTTCCCGCACCTCTCTATGAGGACCAGGTTCTGGTTCGTGGTCCCTGGTAGACACGAACTCCGTATGACGGAAGCCACAGACTAATATGAAGCCCCCAGACTAATACATCTGTCTGATAGCTCCTGGGAACCTTCAGGGCTCTAGCCAGAAAATGGTGTTTCATTACATTCAACCCTGTTTTTTTTTTTTTTTCAGAGTGTTTGGTGGAAGATAGGCAGTTTTATATTGTGTGCCCCCAAGATGTTGTTGTAGCCAAACCACGCAGTGCTGACGATCGCATTGAGTGGTTGCTGGAGCATGACAAACATGCAGAAGCTTTAGAGGTACAGTGGAACACATTAAGGGACTCAAATCACTTTCTTTTATATATCTACAATTCTTTTTTTTTTTCTGGGGGGGAGCCCCTTCGGCTTCCCAGAGCTATCCAGGCTGGTATGTATATTATTAGACTTTGGTATCAGTCAGTGTGAATGGAGTTCTAGGCCTACCAGGGACCACGAGCCAGAACCTGGCCCCCTCAGAGGCACGAGGAGCAATGGCCTATAGAAGTGCACATGTGTTTGGAGCATTCTATGTCTGCCATCAACTGGGCTGGGCAACCAGAAAGGTAAGTGTCTCAAAACAAATCCCTATTCTGGTTAAAAGTACTACTGAAAACTAACGAGTGAACAAAACTCCCCAAATGAAAAACGAGCAAACGAGTATGACGTCACACTTGCCGGGCCGCTTGTCTGCACAGCTCCCCCCTCCCCGGGAGGGGTAAGTGGGGAGCCCCAGACCTGTTAGTACTCAGCTGATGTGATTGTGACTCGGTTGTGTAGCTCCAGCTCCTGATTCTGTGTTATGCTGTGCCTTGTGTCCAGTACTACTCTTCCAGCGGTGCGCAAGCTGGGAGTAATATTCACAGGCACTCGGGCTGCATGTGCTTAGGGTTCTCTTCCTTGAGTGCCCTGTAAGTACTGCCCATGGGGCTTGAGGTTATCTTCCACGAGTCACCTTATGGTCTACCTCTGATGGTCTCTTGCTGCTTTGTGATTGACCGCCCTGGGAGTGTTGTGGAGTTTCCTCCCCCACCCCCTTGTTTATCTTGCGATAAGTGGTAGTTTTGTACTGGTAGGGGCGCGGAGTACTGCGCAGCTAGTTTTCACCTATTACAGCGGCCGGCTCTGTTCCTCCTGGGTACGTTGTCCTCTTGCCGGGGTTTTCTTTTCATTTTTGTTTTTACCTGGTGGGGGGGAGGGGCCACTCTTGTTCCCCTACTCCCAGTTCTAGTAGGGTCTCGACTTCCTGTGTTCGGTGGTACCCCCTGCTAGGCCCCCCATGAGTGGACACGTCCTGGGGGTTCAGTTTTAGAAGTTTAGTAGACATGGGCGCCGGTTAGTAGTACCCCGCCTGGGCTTACCCTTAGCGATAACAGTCTATGGGTCCTGGGAAACCCTGCGGGGGCGCAAGGGGTCCAATGGACGTGATCCTTTGGGACCCTCTCGCCTTCAGCGAGTTTGAGGGTTGCTCTGTCCTTTTGTCTCAGGCCGACACTCATTGTTTATGCCTCCATCAAGCTGCCTGTTGGTTCGGTGACACCTTTGACCTAGAGTCCTGCGAGCATTGTTGTTTGTTTGTGTCTCCATTCATCCGATCCACTGTTGACATTATCCAGGTGCAAGCGGCTCAGGCGTTGCATGCTAGGTTTAGGTTGCTGCAACGTGCTAGGTTGATTGCTACCCTGGATGCCCTGAGGCTGCCCCGCTTTGCTTATAGGGATCTGGTCTTGGGGGGGGGGGGGGGGGTGTTGGATGCTTCAGACTTGGTTCGGTCCGCTTCCCCTTGTTCTTCCCCTGCTGAGGTTTCTTCTGGTCCCCACCCCCACCCCCGCTTATGGCTCCAAAGCGTCTGAGGGCTTCGGGGTCGGGGAGGGGTTTAGTGGATTCTGAGACTCGGGCAGTTATGGGGGGTTGCCCCTTCCGGGGTGGCGATGGAGGCATTTGAGTCAGTTCCTCCAGCCGTTGTGTATGGGTCTGACCAGTCAGCCCCCTTCCTTAGTGTTTTTACAGCTGCCCCAGCTTTTTCTTTTGAGGCTGGGGCTTTTGAGGATGATTCGGCCCTGGGTCCTGGTATAGAAGTTCCTGGGGTTGTGGGGGAAGGGGGCTGACTTGGGGGCCTTGGGCCCCATTACACCCCTCCTGGGTTTTCTTACCCTCTGAGTGGGGCTTACTATTACATAGAGTGGGGGTTTTCCGGCCCCCCCCCTCTCCCTCTACGTACGAGTTGGTTTGGGTATCGGCCCCTCCCCGGGTTCGGTTCCGTGTCCCTTTGGGTCCTTTGCTTTCGTTCCTGTGGGTAATTTTAACCACTTTCTCAGCATTCTTATCTAGAAAGTGTATTCTTCTACTTCATGTCACAATCATGTTCGAATCATATCGTGATCCTACATGACCATTTGTCACGTATGCCAATGGACCCATATGAGCCTTCGTGATTTTGTGCACGATTATCAAGGAACTCGAAGGTTCGAGGAGAACTTCAAATTATTGGAACATCTGTCGATTTCCGGTGAGGCTTACCTCCAGTCCTTTATAGGACTCATTGGTACTCTTCCGTACTATTTATCATCTTTAAATACTATATCTAAATATTGTATGATCACATCTTATCTCAGTAATCTGTCTCGGCCTTAATAATAATAGTTAAATAAACCTTGTAGTCACCCTTCCCAAAAGAAGGGAGGACCTCATTTGATGAGCATGGGCCGAAGGGTGATCGTTTGTTAATGGATGGTGTAAACATGTGTTGGTGTTCTGCGGCCTTTATCACAATAATATATACATATATATATATGTATATATTCGTGAATCGCATTTGTGTTCCTCACGTGTGCCCCAAAGAATGAGGTGATTTGGTAAAATGCTATGCCCAAGATAACTATCCGAGTGCCGGCGGTGGGGTGGTTCAAATAGCCTCGGCTATCACCTCATTTTGTCCGGTCGTGATGGTCAAGTGGATTAAGGCGTCTTGTACATACCAGTTGCGTTGCTTCTGGGAGTATGGGTTCGAGTCACTTCTGGGGTGTGAGTTTTCAGTTGCATATGTCCTGGGGACCATTCAGGCTTGTTCGCATATATATATATATATATATATATATATATATATATATATATATATATATATATATATATATATATATATATATATATATATATATATATATATATATATCTATATATATATATATATATATATATATATATATATATATATATATATATATATATATATATATATATATATATATATATAATATATATATATATGTTGTACCTAGTAGCCAGAATGTCGTACTTGGCCTACTATGCAAGGTCCAGTTTGCCTAATAGGCCAAGTTTTTCTGAATTTAAGTATTTTCCAATTTTTTTCTTATGAAATGATAAATCTATTTCATTACATATAAGTTAATTTGTTTAATTTGAGTTAAAACTAACGTAGATATATGACCGAACCTAACCAACCCTACCTAACCTAACCTATCTAAACCTAACCTAAACTAACAAAACTAATTCAATAAATTATGGTCTTAATATAAAATAATGATAATAATTAAAATAAACTACAGTATTTGGAAAAAAATATTGAAAATAAAGAAAATCACTCGGCCTATTAGGCAAATCGGGCTTTGCATAGTAGGCCGAGAAGTGCGTTCTGGCTACTAAGTATGATATATATTGTAATGACCGCTTTACCCTGTCGTAATAACCGCGGCCTTTATTGTAATAACCCAATGTTCCCCAGTATTAATCCTGTTATCTTGTGATCTCTCATAATCGTACTATACGCTCTCTGTTGTAATTCTCTGTCTCTCTTCACTCAATACCCCAGCTTAACACTGTTACAGTCCAGCATGACCCCTCACTGGACTGCCACGTATATAAGAGGAATATTAAATGAGTAAGATACACCAAGGACAAGGGTTATTCGCTTATTACTAATTATAAAATAAAAACCATTAAAGCACTGCCACCACCTTCCCGACCAACCATACCTGAATGTGTCTATCACCGATCCCCCAGGAAGGCAAGGAATCGGTAACCATGGGACTCCGGGTAATATGAATTTCAGTAATAAATTTTGGAAAATTAGTTTGTGTAATTTACGTTACTAATTTAAATCCAAGGGCAACTTTAGTATCGATTAATTGTTAGGAGAACCTGGGGGGCTTCCAATACAACACCTAAAAATGACAAAGTAGCAAAATATATAAAAGGGGAGTTAAGTGAATACCACTGGACAAGCTATACAATTTATTTTATGAAACATGTAAATTAAGACAATTTGAACACATCACCTATTCTATTTCCCTAGAGGCACAATGGATATTTATTGAGGGCACAAAACTCAAGTGCTACTATACCTTAAATACCCGCACCTACGGCCAAGATGTTGATGGCTGCCCTCAGCCCCGAGGATACGGGCTTGCGGCCCTGTTCCTAATACACTCCCAAGACACACTGATGAAATTTAGTTTTTCCAACTTATTGCTGGGAAGGATTACTCCTCACCCATCTAATACAGCCCCAGGGCTCCACCCATATTTTTGGCAATGGCCAACCATTTAACACGTAGGCCTGAGGTCTGGCACTCTAGGGCCAATAAGGACTTGGCCCTTATCTCAGGCCAATCACCTTCACTGATCTGCCGTGGAAAGCTACTTGAATTCCTGAAGATTGAGTCAGCTCTCCCCAGCTATGAGAAGGGAGACAAGGCGCCTCTATGGGGCCCCAGGACACCTGCGAGCAATGTTTACAAAACTGATAATTTATGTTCAAGCCTGTCTCCTCTAAGATAGCGAGTAGGGACATTTGACTCTGCCTGGTATGGGGAAGAGGCCGGTGAGAGGGGAAGAGAGGGGATGAGAGGGGGTGGAGAGGGAAATATCTGAGTGGGGAAGTTGAGTGGGAGAAGCCAAGGTATCCACGACCACCCTACCCTCAGGTCAACCTCTTGACCCTGACAAATGGGCGACAGGGGGGGGGGGGAAGAGGAGGAGACGAATGACGGCCAAGGGGAGGGGAGAAGGAAGGAGGGGAGAGGGAGAAGGAAAGGAGGGGAGAGGGAGAAGGAAAGGAGGGGAGAAGGAGAGGGGAAAGAGGGGAGAAGGGAGAACCAATGATCTGAGCCCCAGATCATTACAACTCCCCCTCCTCGGAAATTAAGAAATTTGTGTGTAAAGCAAGTTACACACACTTTTCTTATCCAGAAATCCTGCCCTACCCTAACCATTAACTCCAAAAACAACATTTTTAACCCAACACTATTTTCAACCAATGCCTCA